GCGGTACGCGGGCCTCTCACTGTTGTGGCCTCTCCCGTTGTGGAGCACAGGCTCCAGACGCACAGGCTCAGCGGCCATGGCTCACGGGCCCAGCCGCTCTGTGGCATGTGGGATCTTCCCGGACCGGGGCACGAACCTGTGTCCCCTGCATCGGCAGGCGGACTCTCAACCACTGCGCCACCAGGGAAGCCCAAGAAAGTAAAATTTAATGTACCACTTAGGTACACTTGGACTCCACTTTATGTGTAAGAAGTCAGCCTTTGTTCCTATAAGAATATTTATGAGTGGTAGTATGGTTGCCTCTCTTTTACCAGGCATTTTAGGCAAGGTGAAGAGAAGATCGGCTCCATGTTTTACAAAAACTGTTCCTGATTGGGGAACTAAGCCAGACACCACATAAACATGCTTCCCATCACCTACTACACCTTTTCAAATTTGTACTGTCTTTCCCATGTTCAGCCACACCATAATCTACACCATCCTTGCTTTTTCACAACCTAATTTGGAGGAAATCCCCATCAAGAAGCTTCATGTAAAAATCTGCTTTTTCAGGCCAGGGAGTTAAGCATTGCTATACCTCAGTCAATAAGGAGGCATTACAATGAAAAAATTTAATTATTAGAAACTTACCAGAATGATACACCATACAGAAGACACAGGAATCCATCCTAGGGCAGGAATCCTGTCACCCCTAAAAGGCCCTTTGTCTACTGCAGATGAGCTGAGCTGTAACTCCCCTCTTAATCCAGAGGGTCGGGGTGCAGGAGAAATGCCCTGCTCAATGGCCCCAATTACCATCTGATCAGAGCACAACTCTTCCTCTCTTTCAACAAACTGGAACATGGCGAGCCCAGGAGACACGGCACTGTCTTTCCAACCAGTGGAACCAGCAACCAAGATCCAAGGAGATCTCAAGTTCTCCATCCCCCATGAACCCACTCCCAGGTTGTGTTTTATCACTTGGGGCCCGTCAGTGGTATTTTGTAAGTACGCCTCAATTAAATCACTTCTGCTCTCCTTTGATCAGATCTGTAAGTGGCTTATGGGCAAAAATGTAAACATTTTACGGTTAAATACCTCCCATTTGAATAAACAGTGACCTATAAACACCCTCAAAACATTACTAACTGACCAACTATTCTGTGTATCATTGAACCAGTAGCCAGAAGTTACAGCTAAGATGGTAACAAAAATAACAGGATTAATAGTTTCAAACAATATTGTATTTCCTAAGTAAACCTAAAGTTTTTATGCTAACCCCACTTAGTAAAGGATACAGAAAAATCATGTTAAATAAAAAATTGAATCCAACTGGCCCAAAAAATAAGAAATTGGTGATTAGCCTCCATATCTGTTAAAAGAAAAAAATCAAGAGAAAGATAGATTAAGTAAAATATACCAGAAAACATTTTTATATTAAGACGAAGGAGATATCCTATGACTACAAGGGTTGGAAGGCCATGAATAGGTGATACTATGGCTGAACTCAAAAGGGAGGCACACAATCTGACACTGAATTTTTGTGCTGCTTCAGTGAAAGATGTCACTTGCCCCAGGAAATTTCTAAGGATAGTAGGACAGAAAACTTGAAATTGTGATTCTTTTTTTTTTTTAAACCCATACTATATGGTCAGGCAAATTATGGGAAAAGTTTGATGGAAAGACTAGGTTAATTTGCAGAATAGTGCTTTCATACATGTAGTATCACAATCTAATGAATAGTCTCAAGATATGAAAGGAAAATTGCTGGATCTAATATCAATTGCTAAGAAATGTTTCTATATCAGTTGTCAGAAACATCCAGAGTGAAGAGTAATTCTAAAGCAAATACTCAAGTTCTAGTCTGAACAAAGAGCCAACTCCCTATAAGTAAAGACCTAATACTTTAACAATTAGAGTCTAATTGGTAGATACATAGACACTCATTTTCAAACCCTGATATACTCTTACCCACCCAAACCATCCACACCTGCAATAAAAACAACTACTCACAATGACAGAACACTTAACATTTAAAGTGTTTTAAAATATTCTGTTCTCTCATGTGATCTTAATTATCCTGTGAGATGAGCAGGTTGGCACTACCATCCCCATTTCACATAGGAGGAAAGTAAGAGACCTGGATGACTTTAAAATGGCCTGCCCAAGGACACACAGCTTGTATAGGGAGACTGAACTCAAACGTAGAAATCCTAATTCCAACTGCAGATACTGGTGTCAAGCGTTTAACCTCAGGGGCTTCCTTGGTGGTCCAGTGGTTAAGACTCCATGCTTCTACTGTAGAGGATGCGGGTTTGATTCCCTAGTTGGGGAACTAAGATCCCACATGCCACATGGGTGGCCAAAAAATCCCCCCAAAAAACAAAAAAACAAGAGTTTAACCCCAGGCAAAATCAAATCTCGTTTGTTTGGATGGAGCTATAGCTCCCAGCGAAGGCCATGTGAGTAGAGGAGGGAGAATGCAGTTACAAGGGCCCACAGGTCTGCTTTATGCATCACTTAATTCTTAAGAATTGGTAACTTTTTTTTTTTTTTTTGGTACGCGGGACTCTCACTGTTGTGGCCTCTCCCGTTGTGGAGCACAGGCTCCGGACGTGCAGGCTCTCTGGCCATGGCTCACGGGCCCAGCCGCTCCGCGGCATGTGGGATCTTCCTGGACTGGTGAACGAACCCGTGTCCCCTGCATCGGCAGGCGGACTCTCAACCACTGCGCCACCAGGGAAGCCCCAAGAATTTGTAACTATTAAAGTTGAAACAATTCAGGATTGTTTACTACATACTAACTGCATCCAGGATTTTAGAGTCCTCAGCCTAGTGAGGAGACAAGCATATAAATAAGTGCAAGTATGAGATGAGAGATATAAAAAAAGTATTTACAGATACCCTAAGGACACAAGGGAGGATGAATCTGAGAAGGCTACACAAAAGCTGCATCTGGAAAGACAAGCTGGAGTTCAGTGGGTATACAGTGAATGAAACACATCTGGGACAGAGGCAACAGCAGGTGTAGAGACAGAATTACTGGTTTTGGGGTCTCTCTCTTACTCCAACTATAGCCTATATGATCATTCTAGAACAGGAAAACACATCTCTCTTTTAGCACTCAAATTACTGGAAAGGACCAGCTCTCACTATAATCTAATACACTGCCATGTTGTCTTCGATGTCAGTCTTCTGGAGTTCTGTTAGGATGATGTGATCCCTGGAAGATGGATCAGAACACTAACTGAACTGAGTTTCTGAACAGGACGATAACAGTAACACCAAGGTGGTAGGTGTGGTACATGGTGGTGAGTGCACAAAATAAGGGCATCCTGTGAGACTCTCCCTGGACAGCCAGCTGATCAGTCTCCTCTCAATCTGTAACATTAACTTTGAACCAGTGATTCCTAAATACAGGAACTGGACACATCAAATCAAAACCATGCAGGGAACTTTAAAAATAAAATACAGATTCTTAATTCCTACACTTGGTGATTCTGATTTGGTACATGATGAGGAGCTTGAGAATCTCTTAAAAGTTCCAGGCTGCAAGAATCACTGCTTTGTACCCTGCCCCCCCCCAACTCCATAAGCCTTATAATCAAGTATTCCCACTGAATTCTTTGAGACAGTATATGACAGGATTAGCTACTAAAATGTAAGAAAACCAAGTTTAAAAACTGAGGCATTAATGGCGGTTGTGATGGACCACTTACTTGAAAGTGTTTAAAGATTAATTCGGGATTGAAGTACAACTGAAAAGGTGTGATCAATTCCAACTGCTGAAATAGAAAAAGAATTTCTTCAAGCAAGTCAATCAAGAAACAAAATATCATCCTTTACAACAAAAGATTAATAGGGCCAGCAATTTCCCACTCTCAGTCACTTAGACTGAATCATTTAAGGCTTTCTTCTTAGGCTGGAGGAAAAGGATGGTAAAGAATTGTGTAGAATTGATACAATTCTTTGTATTCCCCAATACCTAACACAAAGTAAAAGTCTGTTTGATGTTTCAATAGTTAAGGGTAATGTGAAGGTATGGAAGGCAGGTGGTGATATCTTAGATACAGGGCAAGTAAGAGCAGCTGCTACGAATCTGTCCAACACATGGGCACCACCTGAAACAACTGTGTGAAGCAACAGAATTCACTCAAAAGAACCAAGACTCAATACCCTGCCACCGTGAAGGCTGGGTGCTTCCAGCCAACCTCTATTATAGACTCTCTGTATTTCAAGACTTTTCCGCTCGACAACTTCCAGCTTTCTATCCTCAATATCTACGTTTCTCCAGTAAGCGGACCCTCCTTCCACTAGTCACCACATTATCATCTGGCCACCGCAGGAGTTCTCAGACACGTTTCCTGGGTGGGCGGCTCCCACCCAAGCCCTGACTTGGTACAGATCCTGCCTTTATTTCTCAAAAACTGACCCTCAGTCCTGATCCCCCAGCCCTCTTGGAGCAGCACTCCCTTCTAGGGTCACCGGGTAAGCACTCACGGGGCCACTCCGAACCCCAAAGTGAACCCTGTACGCCTCCACCCACCCTTGAGACCAACCCCTCTGAGCTTCCCGGAGGCCCAAACCCCAGTTTCCTGAGGACCCGGTTATATCCAGCACGGATAATGAGAAGCTGGCGCTGCAGCTGCTCACCACAGCGGCGGTGGTGAGGACGCAGGCGGTGGTGTAGGCGCGGCTGACCGGTGGGATCTGCAGGTACTCCAACCGGAGGCTCTGGTACGCCATCTTCCCCGCCGCCGCCGGCCCCCCACCCCCCCACTTCCCCTTCCGCCAGTCTGTCCCAGAGGCGGGGCGGGATCAGGGCGGGATCAGGGCGGGGCCCACCCCTTTACGCTGCTGCCCAATCATTGCTGCTCAGTTGGTCAGCCACCAATCGCTAGAGCCCGAATGAAAGCACACCCGCCAATCACGAGTTGTGTCTCCGCGGCGGCCCAGCCTCGCTTCTCCACCCACCTACGTCGCGGGAAAGAGGGTGAGTACCGCTTCCTTCCGCCAATCCCCGCAGGCCACAGCTAGCTTTCCCGCTCGCCCCCTTTCCGTCAGCAATATAGGTTGCCCCCGGACAGCCAGCCAATCAGGAGCGCGGTAGCATCTTGCCCTCGCTCTAAGGCAGCTAGCGGTCGGAATTTGAGGGAGTTAGCGCTGCCGCCTATCTCTGGCAGCAGGCGGTGGTTTAAAGAAGGTGGCGGGAAGCCGGTGTTTGGTCGAATTCGTCACTCTCATGGTCGCTTGGGTAAGTGCCACGGGGCTGCATTTTCTCTGAAGAGGAGCGAGAAGGGGTGGCACTGGCTGAGGCCTCATCGCCGGGCGCTGGAGCGGCCCGATGGAGCAAAGTCTCCGGTGGGCCGCGAACCTCCACCCTTAAGGTTCCGGCATGCAGCGGGGGCGCGGGGCCTGCTGGGAGCCAGTCCTCAGGCCGGAAGTGGTTCCTACTCCGTTGTTTCTGGAGCTCTAGCTGCTCTACTCGCTGAGGTGTCCTGGGCACCTCCCGCGTTTCACCTGTAAATATCTATTGAAACCGTACTCATCCTGCCCTCAGGAAATCTAAGGCTTGCGGAGAAGATAGGCCCGTGATAATAATATCCTAAAGTAGGACTTGGCCAGTGCCCGAAGAGAGGTCCTGATGGGAATTCAGAGGAGGGGGTGGGTCCCCAGGGAAGTGTATTTAAACTGACCCTTGCAAGATATTTGGCCAGGCATCTTCTCTTGAGGGAAAGACATCACAGGGAAAGGCCATAGCTTGGTTTGGTTGGAACAAAGAGTAGTCAGATCGTGGCAGGCAAAGTTAAGAATATTATACTTTATTCGGTGCGTTATAAGGAAGCACTAAAGGTTGTTGGAACAGGGAGTGGCCTCGTCTGGTAGTATATAAGGAAGGAATTAAGTAAAAGGCTGGAGAGAGTGGTTTTTAAAAAGGATATGAATGGGTAATTTACAGAAGGAGAAACCTTAAGAGTTAATACGTTTCAAGTGGTGCTCAACTTTACTGGCAGTTGGAGAAACGCACATGAAAATATTTTTACCTGCACCCCAAACATCACCCTCACAGCCTATTGATAAATCAGTGCTGAATGTTTTGCCTACCCTGGTAAGCAAAACACCTTGACAGAGCTTTGGCAATGTCTTGTAGGGATGACAGGCAAGATTGGAGTGTTTTGAGAATCGCAAATTTGGTTTAAGGTGGATTTTTCAATTTGGAGGCTTGATTAGGATTGGGTAGAGCTCATGAAAAGCAGTCCAGCATTGGTAGAAACAGCTGAGGCAAGGGTTTCAGAGAATCTTGCTGTACAGATTGTTGGTGCTTAGCATTTCAGAGTTGATCAGTCTTTCCGGGGGCTCATAATGAACAATCAAGCCGTTTGGACAATGAAAATATTACTCAGGTCTCCTAGAATGGTAGAGTCGTGCTAATGTAAACAGTAAGCTGTTTGGGGAGGCAAGGAGACTGTCGATAGTTGCAGTCCTCTGTGTCCAGCCTGTGTGGGGGTTAGATGGTTTTGGTTTTCAAAAAGCAACACTGTAAAACAATTTTACAAGATTGGCAAAAATAAGAATTTTGAGTAATATCAAGTGAAGGCAAAGACATGAGAAAGAAATTCTCATATACTGCAAATGGGAGGGTAAACCAGCCTAGCTGTACTCCCACCTCTAGTGTTCTGGAGAACATTTTAGCGGTATTTAGTGAAATTATGTATGAGTAAACTCTGTGGCCCAGCAACTATGGACAGTGGACACATGAAGTACGGTATACGCATATGGTAAAATTAATGGAATACTTCAGTTAGAACCAATGAAGTGGGGCTTCCCTGGAGGCGCAGTGGTTAAGAATCCACCTGCCAATGCAAGGGACACAGGTTCAATCCCTGGTCCGGGAAGATCCCACATGCCGCAGAGCAGCTAAGCCCGTGTGCCACAACTACTGAGCCTGCACTCTAGAGCCTGTGAGCCACAACTACTGAAGCCCACGTGCCTAGAGCCCGAGCTCCACAACAAGAGAAGCCACTTCAGTGAGAAACCTGTGCACGTCAACGAAGGGTAGCCCCTGCTCGCTGCAACTAGAGAAAGCCGCGCACGCAGCAGTGAAGACCCAGTGCAACCAAAAATAAAAAAAGAACCAATGAAGTAAAATAACAATGAAGTGTAATAACATGAAGTGATTGCAAACATAATGTAAAGCAAACCACACATAAAGAAAACTGTATTTTTCAAGACTATACAGTTGACCCTTGAACAACGTGGGGATTAGGGGTGCCAATCCACCCAGCAGTCAAAAATCCTTGTGTAATTTAGAGTTGGCTCTCCATATATGCAGTTCTACATTCACAGTTTCAAGCAACTGTGGGTTATGTAGTACTTTAGTATTTACTACTGAAAAATATCCACATATAACTGGACCTGGGCAGTTCAAACCCATGTTATTCAAAGGTCAACTGCATGTCTAAAACCTGTTAAAGGTGAATTAAAATTAAAGATGAACTGAAAAGGCATACATTAAAACACTGGAGTAGGTTCCTATGGGCGATGAAAGAAAATAAATAAGAGAGGACCTAGCATGGACCAAATATAGAGTGCTATGAAATAGGAAGTATTATCACTTCAATTATGCATATGTGAGGTCCTTAAAAAGGAGGAAGAGTGGTTAGTAATGGTCAGATGATGAAGGTCCTTGTAAGCCATATGAAAGAGTTTGAAATTGATCCTGAAGGCATAGGGTAGTGTTGAAATCAAAGTCCTGTTAATCCACAGAATCCTCTCCACAAGACATAGAAGAGAAAGCAGTTTTATTACTGAATAAGCATATCTGGATTACAGTGCATTATAGGTGATCTGTGAATGAGACGACAAAGACAGAAAGAAATTCTACCCTATTTTATACAGCTAAACCATTACAACCATTCTATCTTTAGCCATTACATAAGTTCTCAAGATTAACAGCATCTTGTCCCATAAAAAGATGTGACTGCACCACTTGCTTCAAATTATTTCATAAGGTTCATCCTAAATTCACCTGGTAATTGAGGTAGCCATTTTTTTTAGCTAATTACTTTGCAGGAATAATGAAACTATCAATACTTTTATTTCTATGACAAGTATATGGTTACAGCTCAGAAAAAGGTCCCTAGGTTAAACACCCACAGTGACAGGGAGATAGGAGTGCTATTTTCCTAGATGTTTACATTTAAAAGGAATGTCTCCCAGACCCTTGAGAAAACATCAGGCTTGCTCAGCTTCTAATGGGATATTTTTCAGATGGCAAGGTTGGAAGGACAGGGGAGTTGAGGACCTTGGCAAGGGAGCCGTTGAAGTGATGGATCATGGAGCTTAAAATGGAGAGAGGAAGAAGTGAGGTGGGAGAGACTGAGAGCTAGAAAAAGAAGATCAGAGGGCTGAAAGTCTTGACGATTAAGGTATAATATGAATATGCGAATGAGCGTTGGAAGACCAGCATATGAGGTTGTGGTCAAAAAGTAGGAGCAGCTGGGGAAAGAAGTTACAAATATCAATCGCCATGTGGCTAAAAGAGTGGAGACGAAGATCATCGAAACTCAAGAAACTGAGTCTCTAGGGCATTGGTAAGATCATCCATGTAAACTTGAAAGTTGTCTGGGATGATAGAATTCCGAAGGCTGATCCATAGGCCAGAAGCCTCAGTAACTGAGAGGTGAGGGAAAAGGACAATGAGGAGGAAGAGGGAGGTTACAGGCTGATGGAAAGAGCCTCAGCGAGGCGGCGTTTGTATCCTGCTGCGGATGAGTGAGGCTGGAAGTAGCATCAGGTATCAAGGAACATAAACTTCATATTTTTTTGTCTGCTTCTTTGTTTTGTTTTTGTTTGCTTTGCTATCTGTAATGTCACTTGTTACTTTCATCAGATGATTTTTTTGAACACAAATGAAATTTTTTCTTATTACATTTGCAGATTTTTCACATTCAAAATTAACAAAGCAAAATAAGCCAAGATGTCTGTTGATCCGATGACCTATGAGGCCCAGTTCTTTGGCTTCACACCGCAAACTTGCATGCTTAGGATCTACATTGCATTTCAAGATTACCTGTTTGAAGTGATGCAGGCTGTTGAACAGGTTATTCTGAAGAAGCTGGATGGCATCCCAGACTGTGCGATTAGCCCAGTCCAGATTCGTAAGTGCACGGAAAAGTTTCTTTGCTTCATGAAAGGACGTTTTGATAACCTTTTTGGCAAAATGGAGCAGCTGTTTTTACAGTTGATTTTGCGTATTCCCCCAAACGTCTTGCTTCCGGAAGATAAACCTCAGGAGACGCATCCTTATAGTGAGGAAGAATTCCAGCTTCTCCAAAAAGAAATTGAACAGTTACAGGAGAAGTATAAGACTGAATTATGCACTAAGCAGGCCCTTCTTGCAGAATTAGAAGAGCAAAAAATTGTTCAGGCCAAACTCAAACAGACATTGTCTTTGTTTGATGAGCTTGAAAATGTTGGCAGAGACCACGGGACTAGTGATTTTAGGGAGAGCTTGCTGTTCCTGGTCCAGAACTCCAGAAAACTACACAATATTAGAGACAATGTGGAAAAGGAAGGCAAAAGACTGAAAATATCTTAATGTCTAAATAATAAAAGGAGTTTGTCAGAATGTGGAATGATAAGGGGTTTATATCAATGACCATTCTGATCCTAGTGAACTGTGTACTTTGGGGGCGTCTTCTTTGTTCACTCTTTCCTGTATTCCACGGCCTCCTCTTTTTTGGTCCACTCTCCTGAAGCATCTATGCACTACCTTGAACTAATCTTGGAAGCATCTGTGCTTAGCAGCCTCTGATGGGTGGCAAGGGATTCTTGGTTCAATAACGACTCATTTGGGGACATGGCTGAAGAAGTAAAGCTTTCCCTGGCCATTTAAAGATATTTGTAAAAGTTGTACCTTGGTCGTTAGTCCTCTGTAACCTTGATCCTTTTGCCTTACTCTTTGGATGAGACCAAATGAGAAAAAGGTTAAGTGGACATCTTCTTTATTTTTTTTATTATTATTATTATTTTTTGTGCTACGTGGGCCTCTCACAGCTGTGGCCTCTCCCGTTGCGGAGCACAGGCTCCGGACGCGCAGGCTCAGCGGCCATGGCTCACGGGCCCAGCCGCTCCGTGGCATGTGGGATCTTCCCGGACCGGGGCACGAACCTGTGTCCCCTGCATCGGCAGGTGGACTCTCAACCACTGCGCCACCAGGGAAGCCCGGACATCTTCTTTATTAACCAGCCACTGCACTGTGGGACAGCCAACACAGACTGCTTGTTCTTGCCCAGTAACTTTTCTCACACGGGGACTTTAATAACTCGTTGAAGGAAGCAAGTAGCAGAAAAAACAGCTATGACCTTTAGAAAGAAGAAAGAAGTTATTTTGTTTCTAAAATAAATCCTTTCCATGACCAAGGCCTTGGTGAGGTTAAAGACTTTACTGTCTTGGAGCCCAGCAATGGAAGACATTGGACAAAAAGGAAGCAGATTTCACTGACATAGAAAAGGAAGCCTGGAACATATCCAATAGCAAAATTTCTATTAACTGACTATAAGGTATTTATACCTTTTTTTTTTCATGCTTCAGTTAGTTTTGGAATCTGCCTTGTACCTAATATTTAATTATTTATTCACACTCATAAGCATCAAATATTTAGTACTCTCAGTGATAAATTTTAGCCGTGTCTTGTGTTTAAATTCAATGGAATCTAATATTTCCTTTTGTAACTAATCCACGTAAAATGTTAGATCACCCAAGGAAAGGGGAGAGATAGCAATAGTTGCTCTTAACGTATTACTTGCCTTCCACGTCTTCCTAAAGAACAGTATTTGGAGTTTCTCCTTTATATAGAAGTGTAACTTAGGGTGTTAATATTTGCAATTAAATATTCATCAGTTTAGGAAGCCTGTGTTTACCTGGAATATGTTTATTATCAAAGAGTCCTTTTTTCCAATCCTGTACATTAAATATATATGTTTTTAAAGCATCGATTTGTGATTTTCTGCTGTATATAATGTCATGGTATGCGTCCTTCAGTATGACTTTTTACCCAAATGATCATTTATTTTTATTTTTTATTTTTGCATTTGGAGCTTATTTAAAATCTCCTAGTGTAGTGGGTTGAATGGTGATCCCCCAAAAGGTATGTCCATGTCCTAATTCCTGGAATCTGTGATTGTGCCTTATTTGGAAAAATGGTTTTGTAGGTAAAATTATGTTAAGGATCTGGAGATAAGGAAGTCATCCTGATTTATCTGGTTGGGCCCTAAATCCAATGACAGGTGACTTTATAGAGGGAGATTTGAGACAGACAAGGAGGAGGCCTTGTGACCACAGAGGGAGATTGGAGTGATGCAGCCACAAGTCAAGGAATGCCAAGAGCCACCGTAAGCTGGAAGAGGCAAAGAACAGGTTCTTCCCTAGAGCCTCCAGAGGGAGTGTGGCCCTGCTGACCCCCTTCTTTTAAATTTCTGGCTTCCAAAACTGTGAAAGAATACATTGCTGCTGTTTTAAGTCACTAAGTTTGTTACAGTAGCTGCAGGAAACTAACATACCTAGTGAAATTAGAAATTAAGGTATTCATAATGATGTAGGCTGCTTATTTATTTTTTTAAATTTATTTATTTAATTTATTTATTTTTGGCTGCATTGGGTCTTCATTGCTGCACGCCGTCTTTCTCTAGTTGCGGCGAGCGGGGGCTACTCTTTGTTGCGGTGCGCGGGATTCTCATTGCGGTGGCTTCTCTTGTTGCGGAGCACGGGCTCTAGGCACGTGGGCTTCAGTAGTTGTGGCACGCGGGCTCAGTAGTTGTGGCGCACGGGCTTCGTTGCTCTGCGGCATGTGGGATCCTCCCGGAGCAGGGCTCGAACTCGTGTCCCCTGCATTGGCAGGTGGATTCTTAACCACTGCGCCACCAGGGAAGCCCCCTAGGCTTCTTATTAAGGAAACAACAGCTGAGATCTGCTTGGCCTCATTATATATGCAATAATATGGTTTGTTTGGATACGGTTAAACTATGGACCTGACTTGGATAGAAGGGTGAAATCCATAGTATTTAGAACTCGAGTCCATTACATGTTGAGTAAGTGCTTAATGCTTGTTGGATATTAATACTGTGACTATTTGTCATAGTAGTGTCTCTGCAGGAATAAATTAATATACTTGGCCCCATTGTCCTCTAATAATTAAATTCCTCCCTCAAAACTTCAGAAATAAATCAGGATAACAAATACTTGGTTACCCACTCTGCTTCATTGCCTCATCTCCCATCCAGCATCAGTCTTATCCAATTTCCTACTTCCCTCTACATTAGATCCTATGATTTTGTAATATCAAACCTTCAATTTCCCGGGACTTCCCTGGTGGTCCAGTGGCTAAGACTCTGTGCTCCCAGTGCAGGGGGCCTGGGTTCAGTCCCTGCTCAGGGAACTAGATCCCACATGCTACAACTAAGAATTCACATGCCACAACGAAGATTCCATGTGTGGCAACCAAGACCTGGCGCAGCCAAATAAATAAATATTTAAAAAAAACACAGCAGTCTCCCTAGATGCCAATTCCCAAGCTTTCCCTTGCATTTATTTATTCTCCGTCATTATCGTGCCTGCTCCCCACTGTATACTTCCAAATAGACTTTTCTCATCCTGCTGCTGCAGTGACAGGGTTTGGGATGGTATTAATAGAAAGTAAAGAGTGGACACACTACCACTCTTACAGAAGTAAAAAGAATTATAAGGAAATACTATTTAAGACATTCTGCACTCAGTTCTGATGTTGGGAAGGGGACGGTGTTTCCCCATACCACCAAGCACTTTTCATCACCAGGTCAGTGTCCTGCAATTCAGCTCAATTCTGACACTACCTGGAGATAGCATCAGATTGCACAGATTAAGGGTTCAGTCCCACAAGACTGTCCTCCACTGCAGATGCCAATCAGAAGCCTAGGCTACCTGTGCTTCTGACTGACTGGCTATAAATCAGAGGTTCCCAAGACCCCCTCCTAGAGTACAATTAATTTTCTAGAGCAGCTCACAGAACTCAGGAAGCCCGTTTACTCACTGGATTACTGCTTTATTATAAAGGATATATGAGTCAAGAACCAGATGAAGAGATATATGGTAAGGTCCTGAACAAAGGAGCTTCTGTCCCTGTGGACTTTGGGTCTGGCATGGTGGCACATGTAAACATTCTGATTCCCCAACCTGGAAGCTTTCCAAACCCTCTCTTTTTGGGTTTTAAGCAAGCTTCATTACATAAATCATTGGCCATTGGTGACTGAAATTGGATCTCTAACTCAAACCGTGTATAAAAATGAAACTCAGAAATGGATCAGAGAGCTAAATATAAGCATTAAAACTATAAAACTCTTAGAAGAAAACATAGGCTTAAACCTTTGTGTTCTTGAATTAAGCAACAGTTTCTTAGAGATGACACCAAAAACAAGGAGCAAAGGAAAAAAATAGATAAGATGGACATCATCAAAATTAAAAACTTTTGAACTTCAAAGATACCATCATGAAAGTGAAAAGACAAACCACAGAATGAGGAAATTTTTGCAAATTATATCTGATAATAGACATGTTTAGAACATATAAAGAACCCATAGAATTCAAGACAAACAGCCCGATTTAAAAATGGGTAAAGGATCTGAATAGACATTTCTTCAAAGAATATATACACTTGGCTAAGCAAATGAAAAGATAATCCAACATCATTAGCCATCAGGGAAATGCAAATCAAAAGCACAATGAGATACCACTTCATGCTCACTAAGACAACTATAACTTTTGTTTTTAAAGGTAAGTTTTGGCAAAGAAGTGGAGAAATTGGAACCATACAGTGTGGTGGGAATGTAGAATGGTGTAGCCACTTTGGGAAGCCAGTACATAATAGGACAAATGTCCAAAATAATTGTTTCTCCCTTTAGCATTTGTGATCTGCTAAAAGTCAGTTTACTAGATGTCTATTATTTTTGCCTGCCCAGTATCCATGGTCTTGATAACTTCAGTTTTCCTTTGGGAAGCTGTCTCTTTCCTATAGTGTGCTGTTTTCATGGGGGCTTCTTATTAAGATGTTTCTTTTGCCTTCTGGCCAAAAGTGGGCATGTGAGCTTAGCTAGGTCACTAAGACTCTCTAGAATTTGATCTTTTTTTTTTTTTTTTTTTTAAGAATTTGATTCTTGGGGCTTCCCTGGTGGCACAGTGGCTAAGAATCCGCCTGCCAATGCAGGGGACACGGGCTCGAGCCCTGGTCCGGGAAGATCCCACATGCCGTGGAGCAACTAAGCCCGTGCGCCACAGCTACTAAGCTTGCGCTCTAGAGCCCGCGAGCCACAACTACTGAAGCCCATGCGCCTAGAGCCCGTGCTCTGCAACAAGAGAAGCCACCACAGTGAGGAGCCCGCGCACCACAACAAAGAGTAGCCCCCGCTCACCGCAGCTAAAGAAAGCCCGCGCGCAGCAAAGAATACCCAAGGCAGCCAAAAAAATAAATAAATAAAAAGAATTTGATTCTTGAGCAGCATGGCACAAAGACCAAAAAAATTGTGCCCTTTTGTTTTTATAGTTAAACTCTGGAAAGGCTGTCCATTAGTACTTGCGTGGAGAGGCTGGATATTTTGGATATATTGGAATTCCAGAAACGGGGGGACAATTGAGAGCTCTATATAGGGAGGCAGTGGAGGGGATATGTGATCAAATATCCTGGGACACTTCAACTATAGAAAAGGAAAATTGGCCAGGTCAGACACACATGGATGGTGTGAGGGTAGTGAAAATTTAATTTAGTTAGAAAATATGGGCCAAGCATTGGAGTTCAATGAAATCAGGAATTTCAAGGAGATATGGAGAATTTCAGGTATTTCAGGAATGTCAAGGTATGGGGGCTGGGGGGAAGGATGGGCAGGGAACTTCCCTGGTGGCGCAGTGGTTAAGAATCGCCTGCCAATGCAGGGGACACGGGTTTGAGCCCTGGTCTGGGAAGATCCCACATGTGGCGGAGCAACTAAGCCCGTGCGCCACAACTACTGAGCCCGCGTGCCTAGAGCCTGTTCTTCACAACAAGAGAAGCCACCGCAATGAGAAGCCCGCACACTGCACTGAAGGGTGGCCCCTGCTCGCCACAACTAGAGAAAGCCCATGCAGCAATGAAGATCCAAAGCAGCCAAAAATAAATTAAAAAAAAATTGTAGCCATCCTAAAAACAAAAACAACAAAAACAGGTATGGGGAAAAGTAAGGGCTAATAGGGGAGAATATGGGGGTATGAGAAGAGAGGTTGATTTTGGGGCTGGGGTGAGCTTAACTTCAGGGATAGCAATGACGAGGTGAATGTTAAGGAAGACTGGAGCACAATATTGGGGAGACAGTAATAATCCAAGTATTTGAGGAACAATACAGTGAATCCTGAAATAAAGGGATCAAATGGGGCTGGATATTTAGGAGAATATTGGAGTCAATGTTCTAAGTGCAGAGCAATAGGATCTAATAATGGTATAATCATGGGAACCAGATATTGGAATTTGGGGAAGAAAATGGAGGTCTAGATTTGGTGGCACAGAAAGAGTCATGATATTTGTGGAACAATGTGTCAAATATCAAGGAACAGGGAACTTTGGTTTTGGGAATGGGGGGGCGTTCTATCAGGGGATTAACTGAGGGCAAAATATTGGGGAATCATATCCTGAGTAGTCACTGAAGGACTGTGTGAGGGATAAGAGGGGTTGTGTGAGGGACTTCCCTGGCGGTCCAGTGGTTAAGACTCCAAGCTTCCACTGCAGGGGGTGAGGTGGGAAACTAAGATCCCACATGCCCTGTGGTGCGGCCAAAAAAAAAAAAAAAAGAGGGGATGTATGACTGGGAAACAATGGGACCAAATGTTTGGAGAGCACTGGGCCATGTATTGGGATTCAGTGGTTAGTCAATATTAAAGGACAGTAAAAATCCAATATCCAAGATTGAAAACTGGAAAAACAGAGAGAGGTACATATTGTGGTAACTTGGAGACTTAATTTTGGGGAATAGTGCCTTTTATTGGGGGAAAATTATTGTAGTAAAGTGTGGCTGCACGGCACAGGCTGGCATTGGGAAATGGTGGATGTCATGCTTTTGGCACTGAAATAAAGGGGCAAGATATTAAGGCATGTAGTGATATGGGATTATGGGAAAACAACTGGGAAATGACAAGGCCCTGACATTAGCAAACACTGAGTTTATAAAGATACAAGCTGGGTGAATTAGGGTGCAAATTGTAGAGCTCAGTGGGAGGACTGTCCAGGGGCAGAAGTGTCCTGATAATGGAGGCAAGTGGGGACTAAATACTGAGGGGCAGTGAATAATGCCGCAATGGGATAGTGACAGACCTGCTGTTAGGGGACAGTAGAACTGGACACTGGTATGCTATCGGGACGTGATATGGAGAAGATGTCATTTAGAGGCCTGTATAGCTATTTAGTGGAGAGAGATGCTGTATCTTGGAATGCTGGATAATGGGATGAAATTTGTTTCGGAGGGACAGTAGAGATGTTGTGAAGATTATGGGATGAAACTTGGAGCAGACTAGGAAGTCTGGTGGGCCCACTGAATAGTTGGAAATTAATAAAGAACAGAATATAAAGGAGACTGGAAAAGGAGCATTTATTCCATCAGAGGTACCATAATTACAGATATTTCCAAGTAAAGTATATGCAGTATTAGAGCGTTATGTTCTGACATTTAACATTCATGTGTAAACAGAGATGGCAGGTGGGTAAATAGCCTGCCAAGGTGCGTTTTGGTGTTAGGTCTTTTGGGTATGAGACGACAAACCCCTAGGGGTTGGGTAGTTTCCTAGCACGAATTCTTATCAATGAGAGACTCCCTCACCCCCTTCATCTTGGGCCCCATAGCTCTGGAAGGGCTCTGGGCCAGGATGAAGCCCCCCCAGGTCCCCAAAGACAGCAATGACAGCCCCCTGTAGACCCCAGCGCCTCATCCCGCGCAGCGTGCAAGCTCTGGGCGTGCGTCTCTGGAGGTCTACAGCCGTTGGTCCCAAGCCGTCCAGGACACGACGAGACTGTGGCTTCCTGGCAGGACAGCTCCTTCGGCTGTGTCTCGGCTCGGCCCGACATCGGTAGCGGCATCAAACCCTAAGGCAGGGAAACGCACAGTCTGGGTGGGCTCAAGCCTCTGGGCAGGTGGCGCGCTACCCCGACAAACTCACTGTGTCCTGCGCTCTCAGGTCCGCCGGTTCCCACGCTCCGGGCACTGCGCCAGCTCGGGGGTCACTACTGGCTCCTCCGGGGGCGATGCAGCATCACAGAGCTTCGGCTTATCCCAGGCCAGGGCGCCGACCCCCACCCCGCGGGGCCCTGTCTCTGGAAGGCGGCGGCCCCGGGTCTGGCTCACCCCTTAAAGAACAGAGGTTGGGCTCGCTGTGCGCGCCCCAGACACAAAATGACAGGCTTCCTCTGCGTGCCCCCACCTCACAAAGCGGTAGGGTCCAAGGACATTATCCTCATTATAAATGGGGTTCAATCGCACCGCGAGATTCTAAACGTTGGAGTCTGTTCCCGCCCCTAATCCCCAGGTGCTTATTTCATTAGCGGTAGCTGCTTTGGACGTTCCTACTGATGGATAGTTAGACAAAGGTAGTGACAAGCAGAGAAGAAAAGAAGCATCAAAAGCTAGATGAAGGGGGTGCGGCGCGTCTCCAGACACAAAATGCTGAGCCCTTCTTTTCCCTTCCCTCCCACCTCAGCCCTGAGCCCATCCCCAGCAAATCAGGCTAGCTGTAAATGGATATAGGTAAAGATGCAGGAGGTGATGGAGAAGGCGATGGCCGCGTAGATAAAGATGGAGAGATGCGGAAAATGGTCGAGATAGCAGCCCTCGTGCAGTGGAGGCGCCTCCTCCTGGGGCTGGGGGCGCGCCGCGGCCTTGGGGGGCTGCCCAGGGCGGGCCCCCTGCGCCCTCCCACCAGTGCGCCGACCGGCCTTCCTGCTCGCGGCCCCCGCCGACTTGGGCCGGCGGACAGCGGGGGGCTCTTCTGGAGGAGGCTTGTCAAACAGGCCTTCGGAGTCAGAGTCGGGGTCCGGGCGAAGCTGCTCGTGGTCCCAGGGTTTGCGCTGGAAGAATTGGTCAGCCATTGGCGAGAAGCGCGGCGAGGCGTGTCTGCCTGTTCCGGGTGGTCAGATCCGGGCAGGGTCGAGGCGCAGCTGGCGGCGGCGGCGGGGCTGCGACTGTATTTCTACTACCGGGGAGGGGGCGGCGTGGGGCGGAGCCGGGGAGGGGCGGGGGCTCTGCAGGGTCTGCGCAGCGTTTGTCTCAGTCGAGGCGGCTCTTGCTCCTGGCTCCCGCTTCAGCCCCCTGCTTGTTGCAGAGGTTGGCTGTACAGGTTCAATCTCCAGGACGCTCCAGGGCTGGCGCCTCAGGAGTCTGTGTGCAACCTGCCCCGTTTCCATGGCAACCTGACGCGGGGCGCAGGAAGGAGGGGGTGCGAGTTGCTAACTGGGACCCAGGGGTGCGAAAAGGGGACTTGGGGCCAAAGAAGCGGAAGTGCAGACGGCCAGGATCCCAGCTCCGCGCGGGGCTGCCCCGAGGAGTTATTTCTCCTCTTAAAAGAAATATTGTGGGTTTTTTTGTTTTTTTTTTTTTTGCGGTACGCGGGCCTCTCACTGTTGTAGCCTCTCCCGTTGCGGAGCACAGGCTCCGGACTCGCAGGCTCAGCGGCCATGGCTCACGGGCCCAGCCGCTCCGCGGCACGTGGGATCTTCCCGGACCGGGGCACGAACCCGCGTCCCCTGCATCGGCAGGCGGACTCCCAACCACTGCGCCACCAGGGAAGCCCTGTGGGGTCTTTTTTTAATTTTAAATTTTAATACATGAAAAATCTAATACATAATCTTTGTAGAAAACGTGAAAGTTAGAAAGCACTGTGGCAAAAAGAGTAGCAAAATAAAGGCGCCCACAATCCCGAGGCCCAGAGGTAGCACGGTTAACGGTGGTGCATTTCCTCCTGCTCCTCTCCCACGAACACAGTATCCCAGCCTTTTGGGCGTCTCACATATGGTTAGATTAGGAACAAGTACTTTCAAAGGTTGCCATACTTGAGCCTGTTCCCCCCCCCCCGCCCCCATCCCCAGGCTCCTCTTGGCATCCCGAAGGCCCTTCCATGGCTTCCACTGGTACTGCCACAGACTGCTGGGTACCACAATCTCCTGGCACCTCTGTTGCACCCAAGGTTCTAAGGCTGGTTGGTGTTCCTTTGTGGAATGTGGGGAGAGCAGCCACTAGGACTTACTTGGGTCCCAGTGGTTTGGAGGGGCACACCGGCTGACCAAACTCAAAATATCATCAGGGAACTCATTCCCTCCTGCAACTGAAAGGTCCAGGGGGAAGTGTGCTGAAACAATGTCACCAGGGTGCTGTCTCTCCATCTTACAGATTGTCAGGGACTTCTTGCAGGGCAAGAGCCTACTACGTAGTGGTAGGTACTCAGATAAAATTTGTTGAATGAATCGTAATGATTGAATGGCTGTTAGCAGCAGCAGGATCACATGCTCACAGTTTAGCAGGCTGGAGAATATGGAACCCACATACACTGTTGTTGGGAATGTAAAATGGTGCAGCAACTTTGGAAAACAGTACCCTTCTGAATGCCAGCCTCCTCCCTCTCTGGCCCTCTGAGCACTCCTCCCAGGCCCTGTGAGGACCGCATGGGGTCCTAGGAATACGCTTGGCTAGAAGAGGAATCCAGCAGGCCCCCCACCTCCCGCCCCCAGCAATCCTCTTAGCTGCAGGCTGGCCTAGGCCTGGATCCCACTCCGACAGGGCAGTCCCAAGTCACCGCCCAGAGGAAGGTCTAGGGGGGTTCCCTGGTGGGAGGCCAGGAGATCGACAGTGGGCAGAGGGAGCTTTGTACTCACCTGACATCAAGGCCACCTCTGCGCACGCCTGGGCGCACAGCCTGCTCAGGCCCGTCTGGTCCCAGGTGTGGATGGCCAGGTCCCAGGCCTGCTGCTCCCCGTACCGAGCCACCAGGCGTGAGGCCACCTCCATGCCACTCGCCTTCTCTGGCTGAGCCAGGGCCACCCCGGGAGAGTGCCCACAGGGCTCCTCAACAGGCAGCCGAAGCTGAAACCCCTTCAGCCGCTCCTTCATTTCCTCCAAGTACCAGGCCAGCCGCCTCTGGGCTTCACCAGCCATCGCTGCCCGGCTATGGGGGCCTTGGGGATGTTCATGGGGGAAGGGGTGGATGTTGGGTGGTGAGGGGGTCAGGCAGGCAGAGAATAGCCATCTCCCTTGACCCCTACCAATGCAGGACTCATGGGGGATCATTGCTCTTCGCCTGGTAAACTCCTATTCAGCATTTATTTATTTATTTATTATTTTAAAAATTTATTTATTTATGGCTGTGTTGGGTCTTTGTTTCTGTGCGAGGGCTTTCTCTAGTTGTGGCAAGCAGGAGCCACTCTTTATTGCCGTGCGCGGGCCTGTCACTATCACGGCCTCTCTTGTGTGGAACACAGGCTCCAGACACGCAGGCTCAGTAGTTGTGGCTCACAGGCCCAGTTGCTCCGCGGCATGTGGGATCTTCCCAGACCAGGGCTCGAACCCGTGTCCCCCACATTGGCAGGCAGATTCTCAACCACTGCGCCACCAGGGAAGCCCCATATTCAGCATTTAGAATCCAGTTTTGTAAACCCCAGGGCATCTGCTGATGGATGGTGTTGGGAGAAGGGAGGGAAAAGGGAGTGGGAGGAAAAGCCATCGGAAGGAGGGGCCCAGAGGGGGCTGGGAGACACTGGAAGAGGTCAGGTTCCTGGGGGTGCCGGGATGGGCACGAGGCCAGTCAGGAGAGTGAAGGGGCTGGGATGGGAGGGTGGTGGGTGAGATGGGCGGGGTACCCACTGCTCTGTGTCCCTCGCAGTCTTCCTTCTCCTGGGACCTGGACTCCTGGGACCAAGACTTGAGGTGTGAGGTGGACAGGAGGTGGGGTCGGGGGTGAGGCAGAGCGGAGGGGGGCTTTCAGAGCCAAGGGGTGAGCACACAGCTGTCCATCCCTAGGTCTCTTCAGCTCTCTTCTGGCCCTGGGTCACTGACTGGGGAGAATAGCCCTGGCTCAGAGTAGGAACAAAAGTCACCAAGAGGAGCCATGTGGGTGTGTAGCCAGGGAGGGAGGGGCCAGGACAGGCATCTTTTGCAGCCTCTCAGTTTTCGGTGCTTCCCAAGCCCCAGTGCACATCCTGCTATGCTAGGAGGGGCACTGGGGTGTGTGTTCCAGGCCGTGGGAGCTGTCTGCTTCGTGGGCGGAATGTTTGAAGCACTCTTGTCTGAAAGCGGAACAGCCCTGCTTCATCACCCGCAAATCCAGGCCTCTGGGGAGTAGGCACAGGCTTTCTTCCTCTTCTGTAGAATCGGCAGAGGTAGGGGACTCCAGGTGGAGAAGCGACATTACCTAACTCATTTCCTGTTGTGTGATAGTTTCTGGAGATGCCTTGATTTGACCCAGGCTGGAGGGGCCCAGGCCTAAGGAGCTTCAGGCCCCTGGACACTGACTCCTGTGCGGCTGATTCATTTCTCTGAGCCTCAGTTTATTCATCTATCAAATGGGACATCGTAGGTTTGCAAAGAGGGTTGAATTAAATAAAGGCTCTTAGTAACCTTTAAAAATGTTAGTTTTGTTTTAATGCCCAAAAAGCACAGTGGAGGGACTTCCCCGGTGGTGCAGTGGTTAAGAATCTGCCTGCCAATGTGGGGGACACGGGTTCGAGCCCTGGTCCAGGAAGATCCCACATGCCGTGGAGCAACGAAGCCTGTGTGCCACAACTACTGAGCCTGCGCTCTAGAGCCCGTGCTCCACACAAAAGAAGCCACTGCAATAAGGAGTCCGCGCACCGCAATGAAGAGTAGCCCCCGCTCACCACAACTAGAGAAAGCCCGCACGCAGCAACAAAGACCCAACGCAGCCAAAAAAAAAAAAAAAAAAGGCACAGTGGAGGACCCTGAGACCCTGTGTGGGGAGAGGTATAGCCTGGAAGAAGGGTGTTTTGGTTTTTTTCCCTCTCCTGACACCAACTCTCTGGACACCAGCTGGGGGCCCTACAACTCAATTCACTTCTGACACTAAGTACCCGGAGTGAGTGAAGACCCCGCGGTTGAAGGGGCTCAGTCCCACAAGACCGCCCCCACTTCAGATGTCAGTTGCAAATGGGGTGCCCGGGTTCTCTACCCTTCTGTCTGGAGAGGTCCCCAGGACACCCCCTCAGGTTTGATCATTTGTGGGAACAACTCATAGGACTGAATAAAACAATTCACTTACCGGTTTCTTACAAAGGATACAGCTGAGGAACAGCCAAATGGAAGCGACACACAGGGCAAGGTTGACAGCTTTTTAGGGAGGTTTCATTATGTAGGCATGATTGATTAAATCATTGGCCTTGGTGATTAACTTAATCTTCAGCCTTTATCCCTGGAGACTGGGACCATTCTGGGACCAGCCCGCATTCTGAAGTGATCTAGGGTTCCCCAGCCCTGTCACCTCACTAGCATACAAAACACTTATCACACAGAAGTTCCAAGGTTTTAGGAGCTGTGTGCCAGGAACCGGGGGCAAACACCAAATATTTATTCATTTATTTTTCAATTTCTTAAAAAAATTTTTTTTTTACTGGAGTGTAGTTGACTTATAATGTTGTGTTAGTTTCAGGTGTACAGCAAAGTGGATGCTGCATATACATGTATCCACCCTTTTTTAGATTCTTTTCCCATATAGGCCATTACGGAGTATTGAGTAGACTTCCCTGCGCTATATAGTAGGTCCTTATTAGTTATCTATTTTTTTAAAAAAATGCTTGGCTTTGTTTGTGTGTTTGTTTTTGTGTATTTATTTATTTATTTATGGCTGTTTGGGTCTTCATTTCTGTGCGAGGGCTTTCTCTAGTTGTGGCAAGTGGGGGGCCACTCTTCATCGCGGTGTGCGGACCTCTCACTGTCGCGGCCTCTCTTGTTGCGGAGCACAGGCTCCAGACGCGCAGGTTCAGTAGTTGTGGCTCATGGGCCCAGCCGCTCCGCGGCATGTGGGATCTTCCTAGACCAGGGCTCGAACCCGTGTCCCCTGTATTAGCAGGCAGATTCTCAACCACTGCGCCACCAGGGAAGCCCTATTTTTTTTTTAAATTGTATTACGAGGGGGCTTCTAGAATTCTGGGTAACATGGGAGACCCCAGGTCT